TCAGCCTCCCTTATTCAAGTACGGATCCTCTGCTTTCAGTAGTTACGGGCCCATACTACCTCCACATCTATCCGTACTTTCTCAAGAAACTGCCTCGACTCCACCAAGTCCCTACTACTACTGTTGATCTCATGCTAATCTCATCCTAGGCTCGCCTAGGAAGTCGCCAACCCACTCTCCGCCCTCAGCTGCATAAGAAGTCCCTGCTTTCTTCCCCTAACTAGCTTGCGAATACTATTACATATACTCAGACTAGATAATTCTTCAAATGAGGGATCCTACACTACAACGGTTGGACTCAAACAAGAGCTGCGAAATAGGGCTAGACCCAACCATCTGAAATTATTTAGTTCCTTGCAATATGTATATTAACATATTCGTTTACTAGTTAGTGACAAGACAACTAGAACTCTAAAAGCACATAGCAAGCAGCATTCGGACATTGAGTACACATAATCAAGTATGTACTACTCTGGCTTATTCATATCGACTGATCTGTACTAGCATACACTGCTAAGCTCATACTATCGGCATAAACTAAACAGGCTATCCTACTACTGTCTACTCGGTACTACTAGCATTGCAATTCTCATAAAGCTGGGGAACACCTAAAGCAGGCACATAAGCCCTCATTCGAGGGATCCTTAGTCCTATTCTAGCATGCTGTTCTACTGAAACTGAAACTGATAATCATAACATAAAACTTGTATGGGTACTTTGGGGAAAACTTACTTGAGCTCGGCCGGTCGCGCACATCACACCACCTCGTTTTTTCTCGAAACTCTTTTACCCAGTCTTTAGAAAATCGTTTCTTTATAAAAATCTTTTAATCCCTCGATTTGAGTCCAGACATCCCCGAAGGTGTGTCCGCATCCCTCAAACCAGGGGCTTGATACCAACTTGTAACATCCCAAAATACGAGCCAAAAAATTTTCATTTTTGAAAACATATACTTAGCAACAACATTAGAAATAAAACATTCACTGATCATATCATTTCATAAAAATGGTCGCGTGTCCGGAAACCATTTTATAAAAAACATAATAATGTCAGAGTACAAATCCCAGAATAACTCATGATGCGGAAATCAATGTGTGTGTATGATGTGCCGCTACCGCGCAGCTCTTTCCCCTTCGACGAAGAGGTACTGAAAACAAAACCTATAAACTGTAAGCACAAAGCTTAGTGATTTCCCCCATCATACCACCTACCATACAGTTACATAACATAAATATATTGTCCGGCATATCTGGGTGCCCGACCTACCCTTCGGTCCTCCGACCGGATACTGTCTAGCATATCTGGGAGCTGGCCTCCCTTCGGTCCTCTCGATCGGGTCTTGACTAGCATATCTGGGTGCTGGTCTCCCCTTCGGTCCTTTCGACCCGGGGTACTGTCTAACATATCTGGGGCTGGGCTCCCCTTCGGTCTCTCGACGGGGTACTGACTAGCATATCTGGGTGCTGGTCTCCCCTTCGGTCCTCTCGACCGGGTACTGGGGACTATTTCACCCCTTACTACTACCACATAACACATTTATCACATATCTATCTAGCATGGCTGGGCACGACCGCCCCTTCGACCCTATTGGCCGGGGGTAATCTGGGGACTATCTCCCCCTACAGTCACTAGTAATAGCATCATGTCATTTTAGCACATAACAATCACAGGTAGTAACAACCCTAGATGAATATCACAGAGACAATCATCTATCATGCAACTCCTACTGGTGGGCCGACATTGTGGCCGTAGACCCACCGCTACTGGAAGGTAACTCACCTCAAAGTGGCTGCTAATCTGCGTGGGAACTGACTGACTTCTGCTGCTGCTGCTCCGGAAATCCTCCGGCTATAATTCCCACAAAAACACTCAGTCAAATACTGCTAACGCCCCCTCAGGGTAAAATGACCATTTACCCCCTAACTAAACCAAGATTCAAATCAAAGTCAAACTTCCAGTTGGACCCGACTCGCCGAGTGGCTTGCCAACTCGCCGAGTCCCTATCCACTCGATTGACCATAATCTCGTCTCTACTCTCGTCGAGTTAGGCATTGACTCGACGAGTTCCCTTCTAAACCGATGACCACTAGTCCTTCATCCTACTCGCCGAGTTGTATGAACAACTCGCCGAGTCTGTTCTTGAGGCTCGCCGAGTCAGGGCATTGACTCGCCGAGTTCCTCCATGAGTGAGTCTGGCTTCCGACTCACTGAGTCACCCCCCTATGACTCACGACTCCACTCAGCAACACGAAAAGGGGAAAACTCGAGGACTCGCGACTCGACTCGCCGAGTCCGATGAACGACTCGCCGAGTCGGCCACATGCCACTAATATATACTCGATTTGCTTGGATCCAGCTCATTCCCATACGTAGATCTAGGTTCCTAGGGCTTGATTAACACGTAAAGTTTCCAACTTTACGTGTAAATAAACACCAATGAAGGTTTTAGGGCTCAAAATGCACTAAAAGAGTAGATCTAGGGCTTTCATGCAATATGGCTTCATAAAGGCAGTGGATCCGAGCTCCTAGAGCTCAATCATGCCTAGATCTAAAGGTTGATCGGCTTATCACAGACCCTAGTTCATACCCAAGCTTGGAAATGGCTCAAGAAGGACTTTAATGGAGCTCTAAGGGACTATAAGCATGAGAACAGAGGGAAACTGAGTTATACCTCAAGGAAATCTCTGAAATAACACCAAGATGACTGGCCTCCTTCCTCTCCTCTTGATCTACTCTCCTTTCTCTCTCAAAGTCTTCAAGAAATCACACCAAGCACTTCAATTTCACAAGGAACGATGTTAGAACGATATAGGGGGATCTGAGGGTGAATGGGGGCGAGCTTGGGGCGCATAAGGTTGGTTTTAAATAGGGTGCAAACCCTTGGAATTAGGGTTTCACCAGACAGCGGGGACTCGCCGCGTCCAGAATATGGACTCGCCGAGTCGCCGACTTAAACGTGTTCCATGTCCCGGCTCTACTCGGCGAGTCGGGCCTACAACTCGCCGAGTCCAAGGCTAAAAATGCAAAATACTTAGATAAATTTACATACCAGGAACCAGGTGCTACATACAGATTGACTGGTTCAAACACAAATTGAATTGAAACCAAATTGAGAACAAAGCAGCTACCAAGACTAATAATATTATCTAGTGACCAATTAGTAACTTCATGGTGAGAAGTGAGATGATAACATACAGAACCCAAATCAACAAGCTTCATTAGTGTATCAACCCATTTGAAACTTGAAATAGAACTAGCACGTTCGATGAAGTTTCAAATCAAGGCTAGATAAGGGTTGGTGATATGGAAAAGGATGAAGACAGAGTGCATACATCCAGATGAAGTTTCAAATCACAGACTTGAAGGATTCGACAGACGAATCCAAGCTCACATGAACGACGAACTTCGTGTTCTTCTCTCATCCCTGTGAAAACAACAAACTCAATCACTTATACAAACACCCATCGAATTTCTGTCAAACAATCAAACCCAAACACCCATATAAACCTGTTGATTCAACTTCATGGATTTACAGTCAAAATAGAAGAAGAAAAACCTGTTATAAATCGGAGCTACACTTCGCTTCTTCTTCCTGTCGAACTTCACAGCCTCCGTTTCCCATTCGCAACCGGCCAAAGACCGGCGACCTCCTTTGCCCTCACTCTCCTTTCTCTTCTGTTCCTATTAATCAAAGAACTCCGAAGATCTTGTCTCGTCGATTACCACCACCGGAAACACAACCTCGGCTTCCACCAATCGACAGCACCCCCAAACGATTCCAGCACCCGATTTCTTGAGTCTCCGTGACCTGCGCTCGTTGATCTGCCTTCGTCCATCTTTGCCGATCAAAAGGAACACACGGGTTTTAAAAGCCCTAATCATTTAAGTGGATCCATGATTATAGGGATTATTTTTGGAAGTTCCTAAACAAATTACTAAATTACCCTTATTTATTTATTTAATTTTGTTTGGCCCATATTTATGCATACAATAACACAATAATTACTTTAAACACCTGAACCTAGCTCTCTCTCTCTCTCTCTCTCTCTCTATATATATATATATATATATATATATATATATATATATATATATATATATATATAGGTTCAAATGTGGATTGACATCTATTATGAGAACGTGTTTACACATCCGCACAATAATTGTCCATCCACATTATAACATAGCCCCATATATATATATATCTATATATATAATATATAATATATATATATATATACATACATATATATATATATCTATATATATATATATATATATATATATTTTTAAACGCTTTCATTTTAACAACTCGACATATATATAACCAAAACAACAATTTTGTACTCGTTTTTACAATATTTTTTAACGTTTATGTAAAACGAGAACGAGTACTGCATGTATTCCCCCCAAATATAAAAATCTTAAAAGGTGTTGTAGAACTCACATTTGAAGCGTGAAAAGGTTCGTTTTGAGAATCGTGTGTCGTTTCATGTTTCTCGACTTTTGAACGGGAAACTTTTTAGACGAACCAGCAACGTAGGATTGTAGATCTGCTTGTCAGGAGCACGAAAAACTAACTTTTATGCTGATCGGACTTCGCCGGAAAAGCTCTCCGAAATCCTACCAGAGCTCCGTCAGTTTACGTGGCGTGATGCCGGTGAAGACTTTCTCGGCTGATTTTTGCGTCGTCGGAGAGCTGCTCGTCAGAAGGGAGATCGATGACAGGTGGCTCGGGACAAGGCAACAAAGTGACGAAGTGGAGGAGGGCAGAGAAGGGCGGTGGTTGTCGTCGGTGACACCGGCGTCGACCAACAGTTTCAAATATAAGGGAGAGAAAGAGGGATGAAGGTCACCATTTTAGGCTGATTTGCATCTCTATTTAGAGCAAAAAATGTTACATATTCACTCCTTCTCCTTAAAGCATGTCCAATTTCTAACTTTTATAAATTTTTCCGAACATGCCAATTGATTGTCCCGAACGTGTTGGTTTCGAATATGTGATTGAAAATATCATACGAAGTATGCTATGTTAAACGTGTGTTCGAAGTTACAATTCCGTTATAATTTATATCCTTCGCGATTGACGTTTTTTTCGTAAAAGTGACATAACTCCAAGTGAATATTCTGATAATGAAATCAAATATTGTGGAATAGTCTGATTTAAAAAACATGATAAAAAAATAGTTAACGAGATGCATAGCTAACCCCACCTATCGAATAAGCTTACGTCGTAGGCTGTTGTACCGTCCGATTTTTTGTTTTTTTGGGCAAAATGGGTTAGCTTCAAAATCAAGTACTAGATCTTATTGTGATCGAGGGAAAATTGTCCGGAGTTGAAGATTCATTATTTAAGGCACCTAACGAAGCGATTTAAGTTTCGTAAATTTACACTTTTTAGCCGGTTGGTTTTTTCGTTTTCTTTAAAACTTGTAACTTTTGCATACAAACTCCGTTTTTGACGATCTTTTATATGCATGGAGTCGTGCTAACAAACACTATCCAATTAGAGTGTCAATTTCTCCTAAGTATACTTAATACACAAAATTTTATTGTTCATGTATTAATAACCCTTATTTTTGTTAATAGTTTTTCGTCTGCTAACGATCATGAACTTTTTGAGACAATTAGGGTAAATAGTTTGTAATTCTAAGTGTAATGACTTTAACAACATTCAAAAACAAGAAATACTATACAATAGATCTTATTACAATGAGGTTCGTGATGGTTCGACCACAAACATCGACATATTTTTTTACCATTTGTTACATAAGAGAAATTGACAATCTGTTATTTAGAGTGTAAAACAAGCTTTCTTTTTGGAAAGCGAAGACGCTGAACTTTGACAAATAGCTGAACGTTGACAAATAGCTTAATTCATCATGTAATAAAAGTATTTGTGGATCAAACTTGGATACTTTCAACCTTGAAGCTGAACCATTAAATCAACTTGCATCCGGTCCTTAACTATTGAAATTATTTAAATAATTTGAATCTTGAATAACTAATCAAAAAGCAATTCAAAATTATGAAAAAAAATCTATTAATGTCAATGAAATCAGTTACAAACATTTATTTGATTTTTGAATTGGTTGAATATATAGAACATCGAAATCGATAAAGCATGAAGATCGATTATAATTTCTACCAAATTTTTTTCCTTAAATAGTTCCATTAAAAAAATAGATAATTATGATTATTTTGGGGCATTTTTCTCAATTGGAAGTTACCAAAAGATCCTAATCTAATTTATTTAACAATCATATCCTTACTGAATTGGCTAATATTATTCCTTCTTATTATGAAGTCTTTTGGGGAAGTATCCGACTTTAGGGTAAAGTCCAGGGGCGTGTATTCTAAATTAAAGTAAAAGAAATCTAAAGTTTGTGATTATCCATGATTCATCCCTCAATCTACAAAACTTACAAATCGACCCCTCATTGGTAGTCGGCGAACCAGAACCCCTGGATCTGCTCCCGTTTTGTCGCCACCGTATCCGACTATCCTCTTCCGCCCCCACACCAGTTTCTTATTATATTCACCATTTGCTCTATCCTCCCTATATATCCTCTACTCCTCCGTACTAATTTTTCTGCCATTCTTGAAGGAGATGAGCTTCAAAGGGTAACTCTTCTGTCAGATCCAGAAGAACAATCCTAAAGGTAAACACTTCTCTCTATGTTTCGTAAGCCTCATACACAAGAACAAAACTTTTGGTACGAAGAAGCTTCTAATATTACTTAAGTTTTCACTGCTGGCATACACTTTAATTGAGCTGTAAAGCTTGATGGACATAGACCTTTTTGCTTTTATTTTTGATTTGATAGCTTAAAATTTTGGCATATAGATTAATCACTGTTGCAGTGTTTGGGCTACGAGGAATTCCAAACAGTATCTTGGTAGTAAATTCCGTTAATCTAGTTCAGATTAAATAGCAAGCACAAGGAACACTATTGCTCTTAATATGTGCTATTTGATGTATCTATCACTATAGTCGTTTCATGTTCTCATTTATTCCAATCATTAATGCATTTTTTTTAATACTTAACTTCGAGTTTTAGGATCAGGGTGATTCCACCTGTTTACAATTTAGTGGTTCAAACATTGAATTGACATCGGCCATGGTTGTTTTTTTTTTCTTTATTTTGCAACATGATGACATGATACAAGGGTTCCATGATGCCATTTTCCTTAATAATACATGCATTATTTTCGGACCCCAGTCTTCATTACTAAACTATTTGTTTTTTTGTCCATTTTCTTGTGGGAAAAATGTCGGCTTTTCTGTAAATTATGCATGACCTTCTGTGAGTTTCTACTAAATATACAAATTCCATTTGGGCCCTTCAGGTATTTATTAGAAACACCGGTTTCTAACACATGGCTCAGGGAAAATACTCCCGAGTTGATGGAAAGAAGTCATCATGTTCCACAGCAACAATCGTGGTTGTTTTCGGTGTTTGTTTAATTGGTGTATGGATGTTCATGTCAACATCCATTGCCCCTGGTCAAAATCAAGACTTGCCAGCTCAGCATTCTAAGACAGAGTCAAAAGCCAAGGTGTCCACAAACCCTTCTCCCCTATTTGAAGACAATTCTGGTGATTTACCAGAAGATACAATGAAGGATGAGGTTAATCAAGAAACCACTCAAGGTACTACTGAAAAGACTAGTAATGAAGAGGAACCATCAAAAATGGAGGCTGAAAATACAAATGACGAAGAACCCACATCAAGAAACGAGGAATCTAACACAGGTGATGATTCTAGTTCAAGTCAAATTGACAAGTCAAAATCAGAGGATGATCTTAATAGTGATACTAATGAAACCCTAAAGTCAGATTCTGAGGTTGATAAACAAGAAAAGAAACCAGAAACCGATAAAAAGACAGAATCTTTCCCAGCTGCTGATCAATCTGAAATTTTGAACGAATCACGAACCGAAAATGGAGCTTTTTCAACACAAGCAGCTGAGTCAGCAAGTGAGAAAGAATCAAGACAACCAGATGTTTTGAAGAACCAAGATGGATACGAATGGAAGACATGTAACGTGACCACAGGTCCAGATTTTATTCCATGTCTTGACAATATCGGAGCCCTTAGAAAGATTCGTACTACACTCCACTATGAACACAGAGAACGCCATTGCCCTGTTGAATCCCCTACATGCCTTGTCCCTCTTCCTCAAGGATACAAGACCCCAATCAGGTGGCCTAGAAGCCGAGACCAGGTAAAAAATTTTGACTTTTTTTATATTTTCTTAAAAAAGTTTGAATTCTATTAGAATCGGATACCAACATATTGGTATTTCAATATAAGGTCTGGTTGATTGATCGAAAGTTTCCAATGATGTCAATGAAACTTATAACTAGTTTAATTGACCTGAAAAGTCAAACTTCTTAACGATTAGTGGATTTTCATTTTTTAACTCCGATTCTGATTGTATCATTCAGATATGGTACAATAATGTTCCACGCACAAAGCTGGCTGAGGTCAAAGGGCATCAAAATTGGGTCAAAGTTACAGGAGAATATCTTTCTTTTCCAGGGGGTGGAACTCAGTTCAAGAATGGTGCCCTTCATTATATCGATCATATCAAAAAAGTAAGCCACCGATGCTTCTTTTCTATTCTCCCATATATAAAAAGTTGTTCTCGTAATTTTCTGTGAGAATAAGATTTGTTATTCGCTATATAATTTCAGTCACTTCCTGATATCAAATGGGGCAAAAGAACCCGTGTGATACTTGATGTTGGATGTGGAGTAGCAAGTTTCGGAGGGTATCTTTTTGAGCGAGATGTAATTACAATGTCTTTTGCTCCAAAAGATGAGCATGAAGCTCAAGTGCAATTTGCTCTTGAGAGGGGTATTCCTGCCATTTCAGCAGTCATGGGTACCCAAAGATTGCCCTTCCCTAGTAAAATCTTTGATGCCATTCACTGTGCTCGTTGCAGAGTCCCATGGCACATTGAAGGTGATTCTTCCATGCACTTTTTCTTAAAATAAATCCCCCATTTGTACACAGTATACAGTAAAAGTTGATATATATATATATATATATATATATATATATATATATATATATATATATATTTCCAGGTGGAAAACTTCTATTGGAGCTCAACCGACTTTTACGACCTGGTGGTTATTTTATTTGGTCTGCTACTCCAGTTTACCAAAACAATACAGAAGATGCTGAAATATGGAAAGGTATGTCTAAATTAACAAATTATAATCACATTGAATGTTTGATTAAATTATTATGTGAAAACTTGTTGCAGCTATGTCTAAATTAACAAAGGCGATGTGTTGGGAGCTGGTGGTGATTTATAGTGACAAATTGAACCAAGTTGGTGCAGCAATATACAAAAAGCCAACTTCTAATGAATGTTATGAAAACAGACAACAAAATGATCCACCTATATGTGAAACCAACGATGATCCAGATGCAATTTGGTAAACTTTTCTAATTTTTCTTGATACAAAGTAAGTTTCAATGATACCTAACATAATTGTGTTAATACATACAGGAATGTAGAACTTGAAGCATGCATGCATAAAGCCCCTGTTGATGAATCAATTCGAGGAACAAAGTGGCCAAAAACATGGCCTCAGAGATTGGAATCACCACCTTATTGGTTAAAAAGCACAGAATCTGGAGTTTATGGAAAACCAGCTCCTGAAGACTTCACTGCTGACTATGAACACTGGAAACGTGTTGTGTCTAAGTCATATTTGAATGGTTTAGGAATTGATTGGTCTTCTATAAGAAATATCATGGACATGAGATCCATTTATGGAGGGTAAGTAAGCGAAGTCATAACAATATCTTGTCTTGATTCTTGTTATATTCTTATTGTTGTTGTTAAATGTTTTGTAGATTTGCTGCTGCATTGAAAGATTTAAACGTATGGGTGATGAATGTGGTCCCACTTGATTCACCAGATACACTTCCAATTATATATGAACGTGGACTCTTTGGGATATATCATAACTGGTGTGAATCATTCAGCACTTACCCACGTTCATATGATCTTCTTCATGCTGATCATCTTTTCTCAGATCTTAAAAAAAGGTATACATCATTCAGAAGTTTCTTTTCATTTTCAATGTAGTTTTGTGGAATTGTTTTCTTTATAGTGTTGTATATTTTGTTTCATGTGACAGGTGCAAGTTAGCATCTGTGATTGCAGAAGTGGACAGGATTTTAAGGCCAGAAGGAAAACTAATTGTGCGTGACAATGTGGAGACAATTGCTGAGATTGAAAATATGGCTAAGTCTCTTCATTGGAATGTTCGTATGAGTTACAACAAGGATAATGAAGGGTTGTTGTGTGTTGAAAAAACATTATGGAGACCAATCGAGGTAGAAACTTTAGCCTATGCCATTCAATAGAATTCGTGATTCTGGTTTCAATTGTGTTAGAATCTTTCAACTTGAATACTTACAGCTAATTCCCTGTATTTATATTGATATAAAATGAAAGATATCAAAATACAATCTATGAAAAAGCTTACGATTTGTAACATGAGTTTCATGACCATAACATTATTCTATGGAACGAAATCATTAGGGGTGACATGTTTTTACTTGACACGACATGACACAGAAATTTGTATATAAAACGAATATGACACAATTTGTGTTTTGTTTTACTAACACGAAAATGACCAAATTAAAACACGATAAATACGAAAAAGATAAAATAAAACAAACTTTTAGTTATTTAATTCAAAATTATTCTTACAAAACTCGACAACCATGATACACACGGCAAACATATGTTAATATTGTGTCAATTTCGTGTCGAACCTTGATACGAATACGAATTCGAAATTTAATTTCTCATGTCATGTGGTGACATGGATTGCTATCCCTTATTTATAGGGTGCATTATCTAGATGCTTGAATGAAAATAAAAACATGTTTGGTAAAGTTGCTTAATTGAGTTGCTGAATAACAAAAAAATAAAAAATAAAATACCATTTTAACATTTTCAACCATTTTGTAATAAATGAATTATTCATGTTTGAGAAAACATCTAAATGAACTACCTGAAGTGAAGAGATTAACTGAAAAAAATTCCCATTTCAATAGTAAATTTAAAAAAAAAAAAAATCATAATTTTAGGCAATATTCTCACAATCTTGAATAACTACAAACAAACACAACTATCCATTTCGTTGATCACCCGCGTGTGAAATTAGCCTATTCCATTTTTGATAAAACTGCTGCCAATGAATAACTACAAACAAACAGAACTATCCAATTTGCTCATCAGACAACTATCGACAACCTTGGATCAACCAAATTTATGCCCTTTGAAACGCTGTATGATGATTCGACCGTTCTCTTTAGATCAATAAATGCTCTTGTTTCTCTCAATCTACATATCATGTCTTCACCGGTTGTTGTTCTTGTTCATCGCCACAAGAGTACCATCTTCTTCTTCTTCTTCTTCCTCTCCTACCTCTTCTTCTCCGTTCATGGCTTAACTGGAGGTTCATCTCTTTCTGTAGAAAACACCAACGACATTTTAGTTTCGCCAAATGGGGTTTTCACAGCCGGTTTTCATCAAGTCGGATATAATGCTTATTGCTTCTCTGTGTGGTTCACGGTTCAACCCACGTCAGGGGGTCCCACTGTGGTATGGATGGCTAACCGAGATGCACCTGTAAATGGAAAATACTCGAAGCTTTCATTATTCAAAGATGGCAATCTTGTCTTAATAGACGCCGGTCAATCGATTATTTGGTCAACCCACACAAAATCAACATCTTCTTCGTTTCTATTGCAACTTAATGACACAGGTAACCTTGTTCTTTATGAAGGAGAACAACTTCGTTGGCAAAGCTTTGATCATCCAACAGACACCCTTCTTCCAGATCAACCCTTAACTAAGAACAAACTACTTATATCTTCAAGAAGCGCTACTAATTACTCCTCTGGTTTCTATAAGCTCTTTTTCGACCTTGATAGCATTCTTCGCATTCGTTACGAAGGTCCAGAATCAACTAGCATCTACTGGCCTGATCCCGAATCTCTAGGTAGGGAAGGTGGAAGAAACCAGTACATAAACAATCAAAAAGCGAGCCTTGATTCCGAGGGTCGATTCAACTCATCAGATGGTTTTGTATTTGTATCGGCTGATTTTTGGGATTGGACCCCAACGAATGATGAGGATTGACGTCGATGGTAATCTAAGAGTCTACAGTCGGATCATTGGGCATCAAAGAAGACAGAAATGGCAAGTCCAATGGCAAGCTGTTTCCCATTCTTGCAAGGTTCATGGTATTTGTGGACCAAATAGTCTTTGTACTCATTCACAACATTCAGGTAGGCGATGCACTTGCTTATCTGGCTACAAGATGGTGAATTCTGAAGATTGGAGTTACGGATGTGCACCTGAATTCGAGGGGTGTACACCAGAGCATGAGGCTTTCGTGGTGATTCGTCAAGCAGAATTCTATGGCTACGATATTCGGTATCACCCGAACTACACTGTTAATGAATGCAAGAAAGAATGCTTATATGATTGCAATTGCAAAGGGTTCCAGTATTCATACGATTATGACAGAGCATGCTTTTATTGCTACATGAAGACTTCTTTGTATAATGGATACATGCAAATGGGGTTCTACAGTGATATGTATATCAAATCACCAAGACAGTTGGCGTCATATTTTAATCCGAAAATGGGATTCAGTAAATCAAACTTCAGTTGCGCAGGCCAGATGGGGACACCCATAATAAGATTGTACGAGAAAAAACATGATAACAAGCTACTTAGCGACGTGGCTGTGTTAGGATGCCTGATTGGGTTTATTGAGATCATTGGCATAATAATTTTCTGGTATAAGAGCAGCAAACACTCGGTTACAATCACTCAAAGTTATTTTCCGGTAGCAACAGCCTTCAGGAAGTTCACATACAGTGAGCTGAAAAGGGCATCACTTAATTTCAGTGAAGAGATAGGTCGAGGTGGTGCTGGTGTCGTGTATAAAGGGATTTTATCAGATAACCGAGTTGCAGCAATCAAGAAGCTCAAGAATACAAACCACCATGATGAAGATGAATTTCAAGCTGAGATCAGCACAATTGGGAGGTTGAATCACATGAATCTAATAGAAACATGGGGTTATTGTGCTGAAGGAAAGCACAGGCTTATTGTTTACGAGTACATGGAGAACGGATCGTTGGCTGGAAACTTGCGTGTTGGGAAACTCGATTGGGAGACACGGTTTAATATCGCAAAAGGTACAGCGAAAGGATTAGCTTATTTACATGAAGAGTGCTTGGAGTGGGTTCTACATTGCGATGTGAAACCTCATAACATACTCTTAGATGCTAAATACAATCCCAAGGTGGCGGATTTCGGACTTTCAAAGCTATTCGATAGAGATCGAATTGTGAACTTGAACTTTTCAACAGTACGAGGGACTCGAGGTTACATGGCTCCTGAATGGGTGTTTAATCTTCCAATCACTTCAAAAGTTGATGTATTTAGCTACGGGGTTGTGATATTGGAGATGATAACCGGACGGAGTCCAGCTGGGAAGCAACAAAGAATCAATGAAAGTGGGGATAGGGAGTATGCTCTAATGGAGTGGGTGAGGGATAGGATTAAAGAGGTTGATGGAAGCCAATTTTGGGTTGAGGAGATTGTAAATTCTTCGATAATTGGTGAATATGATCGGACCACCATGGAAAATCTAGTTAGAATTGCACTGAAATGTGCCGATGAAGATATGAAGGTGCGACCATCGATGAAGCAGGTGGTTAATATGCTTCTACATCAACAGAATGATAGATAGTATGAAGATAGTGGTACAATTGTATTTCAGAATTGACAAACAAACAAGTATTGTAGTATTGACAACAAACAATCTGACGATTAGTATTGTGAACTAATACCAAATCGTTGGTAAAATCAAATGCAAAGAAGCCGATAAATAATATTAAAAATTATATATCGAATCGTCGCACATAATAAATTAAATTATCATTACTTAGTTACCAAGTTTCGTCTAGAGATCAAATTGATTATTCACTATCAGATCTAATCATAAAAATGTAGGAAGAAGACTTCCCCGTTTGGAGAATTAAAATATGAGACTGAAAAATTAAAACCAAATTGAAGATTGCAGATCCCTGACTTATATACTGCACAAAATGATTCATGTTCTTAAAGAGTTTTACATTCCTCAAATGGCCGTAAATGTCCTCATTTAGAACGATTTAAATACATAAAATCTTATATTTACTATAATCTAATGTTGTTGCTGCTACCACTACCACTACCACTAAGACACTTTAATAACTCAAGGCTTACTTAAGGCCATACAAGGCCTTATTTAGCTTGCACACTTTGCTTTCTTTTCCGCGTATAAAAAATCCTTCATATTGGAAAACATGCTCTCTTTCAAGTTACCATTAAGTAAATGCCGATTTTATGTCAAATTGAAACACACTCCAATGTGATGATCGGTCAGTAATAGCTAGAATTTACCGAACAATTTCAAACCTCGTTATGGGAGAAAATGATTTTTCAAAATCAACTTCATTTGTTAATGTTCTTGTTGCAATTCTTGAGAAGATACTTTCATGTACAACTTGTTGAATAAAGAACATGGCGTTGCACCCTTCTTTTGTATTTCCTTACTTATTACATCATCTTGGCTTGACTCACTCACACAATGTTCCACAAGATCCCACAAGTCTTGTGATCAGAATAATGTCTTCATTTCGACGTTCCATAATCTATATGGACCCCCTAAAATATAGGAATATAGAGTTGTGTGATGCTTACTATTAGATCTATTGCTTGCCATCTTACTGTCGAGTTGAACACTAAGGTCGAACCAACAATTTAACCAAGTTTAACCTTTTATTATCCTTGAAAAACTCCTAAAATCACAAATTTCTATTTATTTATTTTTATTTAATTTAAATCTTGTTTTTATATTTTATACAAAATTTTAATAAAAGGCTAAAACTTCTAGCCCCGAAATACAATTGTTAAATCATCCAAAAGCCTAAAGAATATGTATAAATGTTGCCAAACATGATGAGATATTTGGATTATGAAATCATTACACAATTGTATTAGGACTTGAAGGGTTCAAAGCTGCAATATACTTGGTTAACTCAACAAAGTTACTCTCAAGAGTTCCATAAATAGTGTTTATGGCTTTTCTCCCACCACGTCATCCATTCTAATAATAAATATCAACATTCAAACTATTTTTAATATATGCTAATTATATTATTATTACACATACAAGATCCAAAACAATTGTGTGCATCCTCTCATCGTGTAATCTTCCAAATATGATAACGTTTCTTATTCATTGCATGAACATACCATGTGCAACGCGATGTATACGACATATTATTAGAACTTTCTCCGGTATATCTATATGTAACATCTCGATGTTCATATACTTCTAAATTCCTCCCTATAATTTTATTCCATGTGAATTGGTCAAGTGGTAGCACCCTTGGGTATAATTGAGGTTTAGACACGGCGTGTTGGAGGCACCAACACGATGTGTCTAGATTTGAGAAGGCACATGTTTCTTTTTGGGCAACATGGCGTGTTTCCTCTTGGAACACGGCGTGTTGACGGTTAGAAAGAAACCCTAATCTTCCGGGTTTTTCTCCCTATTTAAAGGAATGTATAGGCTAGGGTTTGTTCATCCTCAACCTCCATCAGCCCCTCAAGCCCTGAAAGAAACCCTGATCATTTTCTCTCCCATTTGTGAACCTAGTTTGGTGTTTTAAAGCTAAAGAATGAAGAAGGTGGAAGAAGGAAGCAAGGATCCAGCAAGCAAGCCTTTTTCTTTAGTTTTGCACTCTTCTGGACCTTTGTAAGTGTCCAAGACCCGATTTTTATCATTAAAAGTTGTTAGATCTTGAGTTTTGTCCCTTTTCTCCTTGTTCTTGAATGTTGCAATGGTTGGTTCTCATAAAGTTTACAACTTTATGAATCTTCAGGTCAAGGTGACCTAGTAGTGTCTTGGATCTGATCTATAATCAAGTTTTGATGCCATGCATAAAGATGAGGTCATAAATCCTCATTTTGACCTAATATGGGTTCAAGACATACATTGGACATGTATGTCTAAAAAGCACTAACCTTTGAGATGGTTTAGGTGTTAGAATCACTTCTGGAAAGGAAGGACTTCAGATATTAAGGATTAAGGGTATTTTGGTTAAGCCCTTGCATTATTAAGCTTGTGATTTGGGTTTTTGGACCTTTTTAGTAGCCCCAATGGATAAAGTTGGAAACTTTACCCTTCCTAATCACATTTTGGTCTAGAACTGAGCTTTGGAGCTCTTGAAGTCGATAAGGCAGCTGAATGTATTAAGTTGTTGGAGCTCAGGCAAATACGACGTGTTTGCAATTCAACACACATGTTGGCTGAGGTTGTCCCGACTGTTTGCATGCTTGCGAAACACGGCGTGTTGTGTCAACATGGACTGTTGACCTTGACCGTTGACTTTGACCAAGTTGGCCCTTGAGGGTATTTTGGGATCTTGATGGAATTGGTCACTTGGTGGATGTAGGTATTGTGTAGAGAGCTGAAATTCGGAGTCGGGCCTCATCAGTTATGTTCAGTTTGCAATGTGAGTTTTTCTCACTGTACTTACGGGTCGAAGGCACCTAGGCCAACCCATTGGTTTGATAACCTAATATATTCGTTGATATGCTGAGTATGGAATAGACATGCATGCTAGTTTTGATATGCTAGTTTGGTAGATCTGTAGGACTGCCGTGATACTGTCTGATTATCTATGTATGTTATTATATGTTATATGTCGACATATTGTGTGGGTTGGGTTGAGGTTGTACTGCTCCGTGCGGTAGTCAACAAACCCTGGAGCAATCCAGATATGAGTTGAGGGCCGATGAAGGCATGCCAGACTCATACTGAGGGCTCATGAGCATTCAAGATACGAGTTGAGGGTCGGGAAGGGCATGCCAGACTCGTACTGAGGGCTTGGTGGTATTTAGTCCGAGGACTGATCTGGTCGGGGAGCAAGCCAGACATAAGATGTAGGCCAAGGGGAAGCTAGACTTATGCTGTGGGCTCAGGGGTAATCCAGTCTGTTAGTTGTGGACCCATTGCATGCTATTATTATATATATGTTATTTGTTATGTTGATATTTTGGGGAACTCACTAAGCATTGGGCTTACAGTTTTGGGTTATGTTTCAGGTACCTCAGATGATCGCGGGAAAGCGAAAGCGTGATCGTGCACCTCCTCGTGTTTTGTTCTATGATTTTTGGAAAACTCTGATATTAAACATGTTTTGAAAACTATTTTGTAAACAATGATGATTTATGGGTTGTTTTAAAAGTTTAAATTTTTCATGAATTATATGGATGTTACACTACGGTTATATAATTTGCTACCCTTGAGTTACTTTTACTTCCAAACACTTTATACTCTTAATTTTGGGTGATCGACCAAAGTGTTACTACCGTTTTTTACCAGTAACTTACTATCAAACTATATTCCTAACCTTTTTCTGTATACTGATTCCTCCTAAGTATATATATATATATATATATATATATATATATATATATATATATATATATATATATATCTCCAAAATATGCTACATCATTATCTCCTACATCTCGAATGTTATTTATAAAGTTCATAACTAGAGTTTCATTCATATAATTAGAATCATCCCTAACATCGCTTAATAACTAACTAATATCTTATTCACCATAAAATGGACTGGGATGATCAAATCCATAGTCATCATCTTCCTCAACCCATCTTTAGGCAAAAGAAATGGTATATTTGAAGAGCTTTCCATAAAATCATGAGATCGTACTAGCTCTGCTACCTCAAAATTATGAAGAATACATCACTTCTAAACTTGAGTCACTTATGACTCATGAAATATTAGATCTACCGCCAAATTGGTAACATAGTAAGATATTCGACTTACACAATGTCTTATCAATTCTAAGATGTGCATAAACTAGATCTTTGAATTTTTCATAGCTCATTTTCTACCAAACAAATTTTGAGTGGTCAAAGTTGATTGATCGCCCTTTATGAATCAATTTTCATAACCAATATTACCTCTCCACTATAAATTGATAAAAACGGATGGTCTAAAGCTATAATGATAAATATACGAAATGTAATTGTAGAATAAATCATAAAATAAAATATATAAATTATTTTAACATTAAATATATTCAATATTTGTAGACAAGAGTATGTACTTTATGATCAAGACGGAAAGTTTGAAACCGAAGATGCAAACCAATAATACAAATTTGAGGAGAAAAATATAGCTTATTGATTTGGCAGTGCATATAGTTATTTTTCTGATTTTGAATAATGTAGCTTTTGCTTAACTTTTACTTTTGATTCTTTTGCTGTCTTGAAATGGCAATTCATACATAGATTATTAGACCCGCAGATTTTGTAATTTCGATTTTATTCTTTTTTATTTTTAATTTTGTGTTAGTTTTATACGATTCTTTTTTAATTGATTATGCAATTTTGTAACATTATAATATGTTCGAATTTGATATCAATTTGAAGGTATCGAAAAACTTTTATGAAAATATAATTTGTTAGAAATAATATATAAGTTTTAATAAATTACTTTAAATATATAGATTTGTATATAACAGGTAAGGGGATGTTACATTTACAATGTAAAAATATAAAGAAATGATGTTCAAGAAAATGCTAATACTATAAATTAAACTCCAGTCTCTAAAATTCCGATGGTATCAAAGAAACATTCCGTTATTGATTGATAATCATTTAAGATGAGAAACAAGAAGTTTAAATACTGAAATCAAAAAACAACGAATTAGACCTAAACAATAGGAAAAGATAAATACATCCCAATCAACAATTATCCATCAATATATAATAATATATAATACTCCCCCTCAAGATGGAGCATGCAAGTTGAAAATGCCCATCTTGCCAAGTAGAAACTGGAGTTGATTGGCACCAAGAGCTTTGGTGAGCAAATCAGCCACCTGCAGTTTGTTGTCGATCTTCAACAAGGCAATCTCACGAGAAGTAACTCGTTCACGAACGAAAAAACAATCCATTTCAACATGTTTTGTACGCTCGTGGAAAACTGGATTGCTTTCAATATGGTGAGCTGCCTGGTTATCACAGAAAAGACTAGTGGGATTATCAACTACGACTTGTAGATCCTTGAAAAGCCACCTCACCCATAGAATTTCACTAACCGTCAACGCCATTGCCCGATACTCAGCTTTAGCTGAGGAACGAGAGACCACATATTGCTTTTTGGTTTTCCAGGAAATGGGGGCACCACCAAGTAAGAGTAAGTATCCTGTACGTGAACGTCTTGTGTATGGACAGCCAAGCCAATCAGAATCACAGAAGGCTGTCAAAACAGGTTCACCTTCGTGAGGTAAAAGAATCCCATGACCTGCGGTTCCCTTCAAATATCGGAGTACCCATGTAACTCCATGCATGTGACTTTCGCGAGGATCTGATACAAACTGACTCAATAAGTTAACGGCATACGTAACATCTGGTCGGGTGGCTTGGTGATATAGGAGACGACCAATGAGTCTGCGATATTGGCTAGCGTCGACTGAAGCTTCTTCCTCTCGGTGATCAAGCTTTAGGTTTTGTTCTATAGGAAAAGCACTGGGTTTGCAACCCAACAAACCACTGTCCTTGAGGATGTCGAGAATGAATTTCCGTTGGATCAAAACTAGGCCATCTGAAGTTTTTGCAACTTCAATACCAATGAAATATTTTAATTGCCCAAGATCTTTAATACTAAAAGCTTTGTCAAGTTTCCCTTTGATCTTTTGGATTTGATCGATGTTATCACCAACTATAATCACATCATCGACATAAATCAGGATGGCTGTGTAAATTCCATCTTGATTTTGCAAAAAAGCGAATGATCGGCTTTGGACTGGCGAAATTTTATGCTGAGGAGAAACTTGGACAGCTTGTGATACCAGTTACGAGAGGCTTGCTTTAAGCCATAAAGAGATTTTTGTAGACGACAGACTCGAGAATCATTTGCTTTGGAAAAACCTTGGGGAACCTTCATGTACACCTCTTCATCTAGATCTCCATGCAAGAAAGCATTGTTGACATCAAGCTGTTGTATAAACCAGTTCTTCTTAGCAGCAACCGTTAATAGAGTACGCATGGTGACTAATTTGGCAACTGGAGCAAAAGTGTCATGATAATTAATGCTTTCCATCTGTGTAAAACCTTTTGCAACGAGTCGGGCTTTAAACCATTCCACCTCTCCGGTTGGCTTGTACTTGATCTTGTACACCCATTTTGAATCGATAGCTCGCTTTCCTTTAGGAAGGTCAGTAAGAGTCCACGTCCCATTGTTCTCGAGTGCACAGATTTCTTGCTGCATGGCTTGCCTCCAACGTTCATCCTGTGAAGCTTGTTTAAAAGTTTTTGGCTCATTATTTAAAGTAATGGCCGTCAGATAAGCTTTATGATTCTTAGAAAAACTATCATAAGAAACAAAATTAGAAATTGGGTGTACCGTTGAGGCAGCTTGATTGGAGTTGGGTTGCTGGTGATTGATCGAAGGGGGCAACTTTACATAATAATCTTGGAGTCGTTGAGGCTGAGATTTGGTTCTGACACTTCTTGAACCGTTATGATTCTCTGTCTCATCAGCGATTTCATCTTTGTTTGTGAAACTAGTGGACTCAACCTGTGATTGTGGGCCGTTGTTATCGAGCTGGGCTTCCTCATGTTGATTTTCGTCTTGAAGGTCAGCAGGACCAGAACTATCTTGATCGTCCTGGGCCGGATCTGTGGTAGGAGGCTGTTCAAGGAGCTGATCGTGATGATGGCTCATGACAAACATCATCATAATATTTAGTTGGTTCGTCACCCCTGTTGTAGTGTTCAGCCTTGTTGTTTTTGAGAGGAAGGATGTTTTCACAAAATATTACGTCCCTGCTAACGACCATTTTGTTATCTTCAATATCATACACTTTGTATCCTTTAGTTCCTTGAGGATATCCTAAGAAAATCCCGGGTTTTCCTCTTTTCTCGAATTTGTCTCCATTTGTGTTGTGGTTTTTATAATACACGAGACAACCAAACACTTTCATATGGTCGTATTGAGGTTTTTGGTTCCAAATGACTTCATAAGGAGTCTTGTTCTTAATGACTTTAGAAGGGAGGCGGTTTATGATGTAGGCAGCTGTGAGAATACATTCTCTCCAAAATCTTTTGGGAAGATTGGCCTCAAATCGTATGGCTCGAGCTGTCTCAAGCAAGTGTCTATGTTTTCTTTCAACAACACCGTTTTGCTGCGGTGTGTGAGGACATGTTGTTTCTAATAAAATCCCCTTTTCTTTATAAAATTGCAACATAAGATTAGAAGTGAACTCTCCACCGTTATCACACTCAATTCTTTTTATATTCTTCCCAAATTGGACTTGTATCATTTTATGAAAATCAATGAGACAATTGCTAGCATCACGCTTATGTTTGATAAGAAAGACCCACACAGCCCTACTAAAATCATCAACTATAGTAAGAAAGTAATTAGCTTTCGTATAGGATGGTATGCGATATCCACCCCATATGTCACAATGAATTAAATCAAAGACTTCTTTTGTTTTAATAAAACTAATTCGAAAAGGTGTTTTAGTAAGTTTAGCTTTAGCACACGAATCACAAACTTCATTACTAAGAACAACGGAATTATCTTTAACTAACTTAATTCTAGATAGCTTTTCGTTGGAGGTGTGACCCAGTCTTTTATGCCAAGTGTCTGCAACAGTTACCATGGCTTTCCTTTCTTTGATCATCCCCATTCGATACAATCCAGCATCACATCTCTCCGCACCAATCAAGCTCCTCGTTTGTAACCCCTGCATCACACAAAAATCAGGAAAGAATGTTACAGCACATTGAAGATCTTTGCTAATGCGACTGACAGAAAGTAGGTTGCATTTGAAATTGGGGACACACAAGACACCGTTAACTTTTGCTCCCACTGGGAGAGTACAATCTCCCTTCCCGTTAACGGGAATAGACTCCCCATTGGGTATAACAACCGGAGACTCAAAAAAGGTTCTTTTCTTGTTTTCCAATAAATCTGGCAAATAAGTTATGTGTTCGGTACAACCTGAATCAATGATCCAGTCACCTTTATATATTTCTTTACCTGCCATGTTATCAACGCGTCCTTTTACCTCATCGTTGCTTGTACTAGAAAAATGTTTCACGAACATCTGATATTGTTCGTTGGTGAGTTCCGGTATTGGGCTAGGACAAGGTTCCGCACATGCAGCCGTCTTGGGTTTTCCTTTCTCGTTTCTCCCAGGCCACCATTCTGGGTATCCAACCAATTTAAAACACCCTTCCTTCTTGTGACCATTCCTCCCACAGAAAGTGCAAGTTTCATTTTCCTTCGTCTCTCTGTTATCTTTGGCATTCTTTTGATAGTTCCTTTCTTTATTGAAGCTTCCTTCTCTTCTTTGAAACGCCTTGAAGGCAGCGGATTCAGGCTGATTTCTCTTTTCAGTGGAAATCATCCTTTGTCTTTCATCTTCTGCAACCAAGTGATAGGTTGCACTTAAGTTGGGAGTGGGTTTGGTGGCTAAAATTTGGGTTTTGATCACATTGAAGTCGGAATCCAACCCCATAAGAAACTGATATAATCGCTCTTTCTCTTGAAACTCATTCAGTCGTTTTCCAATATCACATGAACAACCTTCACACGAGCATCTGGGAAAAGGCTGCACAGAAGTAGCTTCGTCCCAAAGTGACCGGAGATTAGTGAAGTAGGTAGACACAGAGGACCCATCCTGTCGAACAACTGCTATTTTCTGCTTCAGTTCGTATGCCCTAGGTGAGCTTTCTTTTCCGAATCTTTCACGTAAATCTGACCACATCTCGGACGCAGTACTCGCATATTTTACGCTGTTGCGTATGTTCTTCTCCATGGCTGTAGCGAGCCAACCCTTCAACATCGCATCACAACGCATCCAGGGCATGTAGTCTGCAGATCCCTTTTCAGGTTTCTTGATCGTCCCATCGATAAACTCGAATTTGTTCTTGGCAAAGAGAAAGTTCTCCATCTCTTGTGACCAATCGACATAATTATTATCTGTGAGAACCTCGTTCACATGTAGTTGCTTAGGGAAATCAGAAGGATGAAGATAGAAAGGGGAACTATGATCGATTCTCGTTCATAAATTCTCCCCTGAACTCGTCTTGTCTTTTGGTCCGCTGCTTCCTGTCATTCTTCAAGATTGAGATTTTGAAACCCGCTCTGATACCATCTAAAATTCCGATGGTATCAGAGAAACATTCCGTTATTGATTGATAATCACTTAAGGTGAGAAACAAGAAGTTTAAATATTGAAATCAGAAAACAACGAACTAGACCTAAACAATAGGAAAAGATAAATACATCCCAATCAACAATTATCCATCAATATATAATAATATCTAATACAGTCTTAACATTGTGCCAACTGTCTTCACTACAAACAAACACACCTATCCAATTTGCTCATCTGTATAGACAACGTTCGATAACCTCAGATTAACCAAATTTATACCCTCTCAAACGTTGGATGATGATTCGGCGGTTATCTTTAGATCAATAAATCTGTCAATATACACGACCAAAATCATGGCGGCACCATTTCTTGTTCGTCTCCACAAAAATTCCATCTTCTTCTTCTTCCTCTCCTACCTCCTCTTCTCTGTCCATAGCTTTAAAGGAGGCTCATCTCTATCTGTAGAAAATGACGACGACGTTTTAGTTTCGGCAAATGGGCTTTTCACAGCAGGTTTTCATCAGGTCGGAGAGAATGCTTTTTGCTTTGCTGTGTGGTTCACGGATCAACCAACGACTGGGGGTCCCACAGTGGTCTGGATGGCTAACCGAGATGCACCTGTAAATGGAAAATACTCGAAGCTTATATTATTTGAAGATGGCAATCTTGCTTTAACAAATGCTGAGCAATACATTACTTGGTCAACCCACACAAAATCAACCTCTTCTAATTCGTTGCAATTAGAACTCCATGACACATGTAACCTTATCCTTTTTGAAGGAGAACAATCTCTTTGGCAAAGCTTTGATTATCCAGCAGATACCCTTCTTCCAGATCAACCCTTAACTACGACCACACAACTTGTTTCTTCAAGAAGTTCTACAAATTACGCCTCGGGTTTCTATAAGCTATTTTTTGATGACTATGATAGCATTCTTCGTCTTCATTATGAAGGTTCAGTATCCAGTAGCGTCTTCTGGCCTGATCCCCGCTTTCTACCTTGGGAAGTTGGGAGATACCAGTATGTATACAATCGAAGAGCAAGCCTTAATTCAGATGGTGGATTCAAGTCATCAGATGGTCTTGAATTTTTCTCGGCTGATTATGGAATTGGACCCCAAAGAATGATGTGTTACTCAGAGAGCAAGAGAAGAGATTTTGTGGAATGATTTCCAAGTGTATTTTATTAATCGACTGGTACATGGTTATATACACAAATAATATCAACAAACTTCCTAAGATACAGGTTACAACGATAAACTAGGATCTGATAACTTATACAACAAATCTTATTAATTAGGATAAGTCTTATCCCATTAAGCTCTCGCCAACACTCCCCCTCAAGGTGGAGAATGGATATCCACCATTCCCAGCTTGCTTAGAGAGCTTTCGAAAATCCTTCCACACACAGCTTTAGTCAGCATGTCAGCTAGCTGTTCACTTGATGCTACATGAGGCAGTTTCACATTTCCCTTTTCTAGGTGATCCTTAATGAAGTGTCGGTCGATTTCAACATGCTTGGTTCGATCATGCTGAACCGGATTGTTGGCTATTTTTACTGCTGATTCATTATCACAATACAATTGTATAGGTGCCTTCAAGACAATTCCCAAATCAAGTAAAATTCTCCTTATCCACAAAAGTTCACATATCCCATGTACCATTCCACGAAACTCCGCTTCAGCACTTGATCGTGAGACCACTTTTTGCTTTTTACTCCGCCAAGTTACCAAATTGCCCCCTACAAACGTAAAGTAACCAGAAGTGGACTTCCCATCCATTCTATCACCTCCCCAATCAGCATCTGAGTACCCGCTTACTTCTAATTCTTCATCAGTTTTCACATTTCGTCTAAAGAACAAGCCTTTTCCAGGAGATGATTTCAGGTACCTTAAGATTCGATTAACAGCACTCATGTGTTGTTCTCCAGGTGCGTGCATGAAACGGCTAACCACACTGGCTGCATATGCAATATCGGGTCGTGTGTGAGCTAGATAGATCAGTTTTCCTACCACTTTCTGGTACCTTCCCTTATTCGTTGGTACTTGACCTTCATCAATTTGCAAGTTATGATTAGTTTCAATGGGAGTGTTCACTGGTTTACAGTCGAGCATTCCTGTTTCAGCAAGGAGGTCTAATATGTACTTCCGTTGGCATAAGTTTATACCGGCTTTAGACCTGGATACTTCTATGCCTAAGAAATATTTGAGGTGACCTAAGTCTTTCAGTTCGAATTCTGCTGCAAGGACCTTCTTTAACTTGTCGATTTCTTCACTATCATCTCCAGTTATGACCATATCATCTACATACACGATTAGTGCAGTTACCTTTCCTCCTCTTACTTTAACAAAGAGAGTGTGATCAGCATCACTTTGTCGGTATCCTATTTTCTTCATGAAGGTCGAGAATCTCCCAAACCATGCTCTGGGAGATTGTTTTAATCCATATAGGGCCCTTTTCAGTCTACATACTTTCCCTTTACTGTTTGTCCCCGGTGGGGGGTCCATATACACCTCTTCTTCCAAGTAACCATTCAAAAACGCGTTTTGTACATCAAATTGTCTTAATGGCCAGTCTCTGTTTGCAGCAATGGAAATCAACACCCTAATTGTGTTCATCTTGGCTACTGGGGCAAAAGTATCACCATAGTCAATGCCGTATTTTTGTGTGTACCCCTTTGCAACCAAGCGGGCCTTGTATCTGTCTACATTCCCTTTCTCATCCAATTTTATGTTGTAAATCCACCGGCATCCCACCGTCTTCTTTCCCTTCGGAAGACATACTAACTCCCAAGTCTCGTTCTTTTGTAGTGCCTCCATCTCCTCATTCATTGCCCTTTTCCATTTCTCATCTTCTAATGCTTCGTGTACATATCTTGGGATCACAATGTTGGACAGTTTCTCCACTCGTAGTGCGTGTGACTCTGACAAACGATGATGTGATACAAAATTCCCAATGGGATACTTAGACCTCGCTTTAATATCAGGTACATATTGCTTCTTTGGTTGGCCTCGGTTAGTTCTCTCTGGATACCGTCTTTCGATTATTTCCTCCACATTGGTTCCATGTACTGTGTCCTCCAATTCTTCATCATCCTGCATAAAATCACTCAAAGAACCAGTGTCAAGAACGACATCTGGTGTGTTAGTATCTGGTACGTGTTGTTCAACATTCCGGCTAGATTCAGGTTCTTCATTCATGCTAGACTCTGGCTGGACATCGGTACTAGGCGTGTCTTGACTTGAATTTACACACTCTGTATCATCTTCTTCATTCTCTAACTGAAAGCTTGAAATTTCTTCATCAAAGTCGTGGGTTTCTACTTCTGCGTTCTTTTCCCCCTGAAGAGAACACCCATGACCAAAGTAAGGAACAGTTTCATGAAATGAAACATCCCTTGTAACATGGACCTTATTTTCAACTGTATCCAAACACCGATACCCTTTCTTTGCATCTGCATATCCAAGAAACATGCATTTCACAGACCTTGGTTCCAACTTTCCCAAATTCTGATATACATATGCAGTGCAGCCAAAAATGCATGGTTCAAGGCCATCAGTTTGTGATATTTCAGTGAGTTCTCGTAGCTTCTGTAGCGGTGTTTGAAAGCCTAGCACTTTTGATGGTGTTCGATTCAAGAGATAGGCAGCTGATCGTAATGCTTCACCCCAGAATTTCCTGGGTACTTCCATATCAAATAGAGAGGCTCGAACAACTTCAAGAAGTTGTCGATTTTTCCTCTCTGCCAATCCGTTTTGCTGGGGAGACCTTGCACACGACGTTTGGTGGCGAATCAAATTCTGTTTACAGAAGTTTTTCATGGTATAATTTATGTACTCCCCTCCATTATCAGATTGGAGCACTTGAATTTCCCTTCTGTACACTGTTTTAATGGTGTTATATAGTTCTGTAAACGCCTGAAATACTTCTCCTTTATGCTTAAGGAGTGACACCCATGTCATTCGTGTACTTTCATCAATGAATGTTACGAAGTATTTTGATCCATCAGGAGTGGGTATGGGGGCGGGGCCCCATACATCAGAGTAAATCTTCATAAAAGGAATTGAAGTTTTATTATCACTAGAAGCATATGAGATTTTCGTGTTCTTTGCTAACTCACAAACACCACACTTCAAATCATTATCCAATACATTTGAAAACAAACTAGGTTTAAGCTTTCTAAGGTAATTAAAAGACAAATGTCCTAGCCTACGATGCCATAACATTGCTAAGGACTTATTCACTTCCATTACTGCTGTATGATACGCCTGGCTTTGGTGATTCTCGTCCAGGTAGTACAATCTTCCCCGCCTAGTACCATAGCCAAGAGTATGATGAGTTACCATATCCTGAAAGACACATTCATGTTTCCAAAAGATAACATAACAGTTTAGTGCTTCTGTGATCTGGCTGACAGATAATAAATTCGAAGATAATGAAGGAACTACAAGGACACTATCAAGATCCATAGACTTTGTTACTTTTACAGTTCCTTCACTCACTACAGGTGCCATTTCTCCATTTGTAGTTTTAACATTCGTTTGTGAGGGTTCGGTTTTTTTGATTAATTTTGAAGGATCATTTGTCATATGATCCGTTGCCCCTGTATCAATTACCCATTGTTTTGAGAGTTTGCTTTGATTATTTAGTGACATACCCGGATCAGTAGTAGTATGGGCTGCAACTGGAGTGGTTGATTCTTCACTTTGAGGAGTCTTGATTGTTGCAGCTTGAACTATTCGCTTCCTGGGTTTCTTTGAGAAATCCCACCATTCAGGGTATCCAATAAGCTCATAACACTTTGACTTTGAATGTCCATCTTCCCCACAATGAGTGCAGGTAAGAGAGTTGCTCTTGTTGGTCTTCACTTTGGGATTCAGAGGCCTATTTCGAGAAGTAAAGTGGACCCTGCTATCTGCCTCAATTTTGGGATCTTCCATGGACTGACGCTGGTTATGATCCTTTCTGATATAGGCGTATGAAGATTCAAGGGTAAGTGGTGGGTCTTTTCTGAGAATTTCACTTCGTGCTTGGTTGAATTCGTGATCAAGGCCTGCCAGAAATATGTGGACACGAAACCTTGATTGAGTTTTGTTTGAGGCTACTGTTGACTCGACAGTCCCCCCCCCCCCTCTGATATTGATCTAGCATCAATTTCCTGAAAGATACTTACCAATTCATTGTAGTACGCAGGTAGCGATCTCCCATTCTGGCGAGTATTGAAGGATCTTCGGTTCAATTCGAACAATTGGGTTTCATCCGACCCATCATAGAATGTCTTTTTCGCTGTTTCCCAAATTCCTGCTGCAGTTGGTAGGCGGATGAATCTGCGCATTAGGTTAGGATTCATAGAATCAATGAGCCAGCTCTTGACCCGGTTGTTATCAGTGACCCATGCTTCAATCGATTTTTCATTCACGGAGGGTTTCACTGAGGTACCAGTGATGAACCCTGATTTGTTACGAGCCCCGATGCGCATCTCCATGAGTTGAGACCACAACGGGTAATTGGTATCATCGAGAATAACCCCTGTTAGAAATGGGGCATCTTGAACGTTTTGCACAATCACCGATGAGGATGATCCAGGGGTGTCGCCTTCGTTTCCCATGGTAATTCGAATACTTCGTAGGGTTTGGCTACTTCGTGGGATTCGTTCACTGATTCAACGATTAAGAAGATCAGGAATTCGAGGTTTTTATTGCTCTGATACCATGTTACTCAGAGAGCAAGAGAAGAGATTTTGTGGAATGATTTCCAAGTGTATTTTATTAATCGACTGGTACATGGTTATATACACAAATAATATCAACAAACTTCCTAAGATACAGGTTACAACGATAAACTAGGATCTGATAACTTATACAACAAATCTTATTAATTAGGATAAGTCTTATCCCATTAAGCTCTCGCCAACATGATGAAGATCGACATCGATGGTAATCTAAGAGTGTAGTTTCATTGAACATCAAACGAGAAAGGAATGGCAAGTTCAATGGCAAGCTGTTTCCCGTTCTTGTAGGGTTCATGGTATTTGCGGACCAAATAGTCTTTGTACTTATTCACAAGATGCAGGTAGGAGATGCATTTGCTTACATGGCTACAAGATGGTGAATTTTGAAGATTGGAGTTACGGATGTGCACCTGAATTCGAGGGTTGTAGTCCAGATAACGAGGGTTTCATCAAGCTTACCCAAGCAGAATTCTATGGCTACGATATCCGGTATCACCCCAACTACACTCTCGATTCATGCAAGAAAGATTGCTTAGATGATTGCACTTGCAAAGGGTTCCAATTTTCATACAATTGTCATAAAGGAATCTATTATTGCTACATGAAGAATTCTTTGTATAATGGATACCAAATGGGATTCTACAATACAATGTATATCAAATTACCAAAAACGTTGGTGTCATCATTTCATCAGAAAACAATCAACGAACAAAACGTCAGTTGCGTAGGCCAGGCTGTGACACCGATGATAAGATCGTACGAGAAAAAACATCATAACAAGCTACTTAACTCCATGGCTGTTTTAGGATGCGTGATCGGTTTTATTGAGATCATTGGCATAGTGTTTTTCTGGTATAAGAGCAGTAAACACTCGATTACAGCCGATCAATGTTATTTTCCGGCAGCCACAGCGTTCAGGAAGTTCACCTACAGTGAGCTGAAAAAGGCATCAAATAATTTCAGCGAAGAGATAGGGCGAGGTGGCACTGGTGTCGTGTATAAAGGGATTTTATCAGATAAACGAATTGCAACAATCAAGAAGCTCAAGAATATTAATGATCACCAAGGTGAAGACGAATTTCAAGCTGAGATTAGCACAATCGGGAGGCTGAATCACATGAATTTGATAGAAACGTGGGGATATTGTGCTGAAGGAAAACACAGGCTTATCGTCTACGAGTATATGGAGAACGGATCATTGGCCGGAAACTTGCGTCTCAGGAAACTCAATTGGGAGACAAGATTCGAGATCGCGAAAGGAACAGCTAAAGGGTTAGCTTATTTACATGAAGAGTGCTTGGAGTGGGTTCTTCATTGCGATGTGAAACCTCATAACATACTCTTGGATGCAAATTACAGTCCAAAGGTCGCGGATTTTGGTCTTTCAAAGCTATTGGATAGGGATAGAATAGGGAAATCGAATTTTTCGACAGTTCGAGGGACTCGAGGCTACATGGCTCCTGAATGGGTGTTTAATCTTCCAATTACTTCAAAAGTCGATGAATTTAGCTATGGGGTTGTGATAGTGGAGATGATAACAGGACGGAGTCCTACAGGGAAGGAGCAAAGAAGCGATGAAAATGGTGACACAGAGCCTGCGCTTATTGATTGGGTGAGAGATAGGATTAATGGAAATGGAAGGGAATCTTGGATTCAGGAGATTGTAAATCCTTCGATAAGTGGAGAATATGATCGGATCACCATGGAAAATCTTGTTAATATTGCACTGCAATGTGCAGAGGAAGATAGGAAGGTGCGACCAACAATGAAGCAGGTGGTAAATATGCTTCAACATCCAGAGAATTATAGATAATATGCGTAACTAATGAAGTTAACTTAATGATTTCTGAGTTATGATCCCTGAAATTCATATCTGAGCTTGAATTCGATTGAATAAGATTTGAAGATGAGGGTAATCCGTAATCCTTAGATCATAAGACCCAAATACCTATCGTTTTCATCTGTAACCTTGGACCTTATGTGGTATTTTCATTTCTAACTTCTAACAAGTACAACTTTTTTTCATGGATAAAAAAACCCGGGCAATTTTGCAATTTTGGCTGGCTTTGCTTGCTCTTAATTAGCTTGTAATTTGTAATTACCCTGTACCAAGATAGTTTCTTGCTAGATTTCTTTTACATGGTTTAATATCAATCTTTCCGCCTTCTAGGAAAAAAAATCAATACTCAAACAAATAGAAAATAAAAGGAAAGAAATTGATGAAAATGTGAATCCGTCATACAAACATGTTATCTAACAATTTATTATTCAAGACAGCACACTACTCTCTATTGACTCAACTAAAAAAACAAAAGCATTTCACTATTAGAAAACTACATATTTCTTAGGGAAATCTCTAACAAAATAACGTCTACATGCCTCATTGGGGAGGGATCGTTGATCCCACATACACCGGGAAGGAGATCTAAGCACTACCTTATATGGAGTGTAGATATTTTCCCTATCACAACATGTTTTAAAGTCATAGGGACAACATATCTCATGAGAACTCTAGAGTTAAGGTGAGGCCAAGAAGATGCTCTATATGGACAATATTGTGGTACTTGCATTTGAAGGATGTTACAAATGATATTAGAGAGTATGTTAGGTATGAATATTAGGCAAGCATTCAAGAGAATCATTCTCACATGAAATTTTAGTAGAAAGACTTGGTGTATTCCCTCAAAGAAAAGTAAGTCTTTCAAAATGTTAAAGTTGTTGGAAAACATTTTTCTTTTAGTATGGTTGCAAAACCTTTTTCTTTTTCAACTGTATTATGTGTCAGTTTGTATTGGTTGTTGTAATATCGGTCCTTCGTCATTTTCTTTCAATTTTAGCACCTTTTGTAACCCTGTAAAATTTAGTCTGTTAATCACTACATATATTGTATGTAATGAAAGCTTAGAACTAATATTGAAATGAAATTGGAAAAAATGGAAAAACTAAAGCACCGTCCTTATAATTTTCCATGGTTAATATGTCATGTTAATCGAACTTATTTACCAGTTTTATATTGAATATATGTTGATGGTCTATGGTTATCACAAACGAATATTGATTGTAACTGTGGAAGACATCCATTGGGTGACAGAGGAGGTGGAGAGTTCGGATCTAAATTGAAGTTGGCTCAAAAAAAAAAAAAAAAAAAAAAAAAAAAAAAAAAAAAAAAAAAAAAAAAACATTGTTCATAAGCCGATACGACTTTTACTATTATATATAATCTAGGCTTAGTAATGTAGATAACACCTTTGAGGTATACTTACAAAAAATAGTTAAGAGTTGTAACTTCCACTTGTATATAACTATTTAACAAAAAATAGTTGTAAGATTTGTAAAAACGTAAAGTTACATTAAATAACATCTAAAAAATACATGAACTATCACTATTGTATCACTATTGTAGACATTTAGTCAATTTTTCCGTACACTAACTTACAATTAAACTAACATTTATTATTCAAGAAATCTCATTTTGACATAACATGGCTAATTGGTTTATTTGTACAAAAAAAAAACACCATTAAACTCATATTTATTGTTCAAAAAGCACCATTAAACTCCCAACTATAAACAAAATTTTCTATTAAACAAAAATTTTCTATACATTTAGTCACTTTCATCTATTTCAACAATCATCAATTTTACGGTCATCTTTTTTGGCCAACACAGCAGATGTGGATACACCCATTTAAACATCCTTCGCCAGAGAAAGAAAAAACATCGTTGGAGAACCAAGATAGGCCACAATTGAGCTTCACACTCGCACCTACTCATAACATGTTGGGTCGAAACTTCCAGCGACAACACCATTTTTCTCACTCGTTGTCGCTCATGTTTTTGCTAGATGCAATGTTTGGGATCCTTAGCAAACCGCATTGAGATTAATAGGAGAATTAGATTGACATTTCATCACCCAATCATCGGTTCACTATGAACTATGTAGCGACCAACAATGATCCCAAGAGTAACAAACCAGGAAAAATATAACTTAATTGTTTCTTGTCGGATAACGGAAGGCTATGTTCTTGTTTGTTGCAAAAAATGGATAGTAGTTATAGGATTTGATGGTGATGGCTAGCGAAGATGATCGGTGTATAGTTTAAAAAAAATATAATAGTAAATCATATACAGATAAAAAATAACATTAACTTGCAGTATTTACAAGGGTAGGTTTTTAACAATACTAGTATGAGTTTAATTTTTAACAATACTATTATGAGTTTAATAGTAAATCGTGTACACATACACAAACATAATGACTAAATATATACAAAAGTTTAAAGTGATAGTTCAATACACTTCAAAGTCATTTTCCCTGTATTTAAAGACAAGAACACTCATGTAACACCACTAAAACGTAACCATTATCATATACTATATATTTGCACATAACAACAGATTAAAATGGTAAAACAGTCATAGTCTTTTAGACAACAGAATCTCAACCCTATTGTAGATCTTAGAAGTGGGAGAGTTTTACAGGTGAATCATGGAGCTTCACAGTCCTGCTTTCGACCACCTGGAGAACACCTGGTTGTTCTATCAAAACAAAAACGAAAGCAATTAGAAATATGTTATCATAATTAAGCTCAAGGCTCAATCAATTTTCCCACAAAATACCCAAAATGAAGAGATTCAAAGAGGAAAATAATCATACTAGAAAGATCTTCAACTTGTTCAGGAGTGAGTTTTGCAGAAAATCCACAAGCTGCGTGTTTGTACGTGTACAACAAAGCCCCTTTTGCTGCCTCCTCGCTATCAATGAGTAAAACGAAATAACAATAAATAAACACAAACTCAAAAATCAAAGACAGAAACGCAACTATTTATCAGCCCCAGTTGTTTTATTCCAATGAAATGAAATAACTTCAATTCTGATATCGTAATTCAAACAAGATGCCTTCCTAAATTCAAACAGCGACGAATTTACTACGAATGAAATATTTTGCCCAATTATTAAGCCCTAATTCGTTAGAATCACGATCAAAACGGAATTATGTTGGCTCTCAGTTTAAGACCTAATTCGTTGGACTCTTATTGCAACCTCGAACTTCAATTTCGGGATTGGATAAATAATCAGTCTATAAATTTGCTATCAATAACTTGTATAAAATTGAAGTACACAATTTAGTTAGAATTCGTAAGGAAATCCATTTATCTATGAATTTTCTACATTGATCAGATGGAGTAATAATAACAAAAAGAAGAGACCTTCCGAGGACTGAAGAGAGGGTGCGAAGGTGATAGATTTCGAGATCTTCTTGTTGAGGTCGCTCGGTGTAAACGATATGGACTGCCGCTGATGCAGATTTGGGAACAGATGAATCGGCTTCTGCCATAGATGATGATATAGCGATGATGGAGATTAGCGAGAGAGTGATGATGGAGGAAGATAGGAGGGATTGAAGAGACATTTTATAGAGACAACGAGAGTTACATGTATTCTTAGCGACGAAGAATCGAATTACACGGACGGATTAAAAGAGGGGAGAAAGTGGGTATTGATTGGTATAGAGCCTACAAAACAATGGATCAATGCAAATTTTATTTACGGCAAGAACGCGTAAAAGTATTTCTCTTTAGCATTACGACAAGTCGACAACCGAATAAAATAACTATCATATTTCATTCTAAAGTTATTATTTTATGGATTCGTACAATTACACCAAAGGGTAAAGGGTATGGGTGCGGTTTGGCGGTATCTTTACCACAGTGGCAGGGGAACACCAAGCCCATCCTGCGGTTTCCTTTGGAGTCTCGGTGCACACGACTAGTTTTGGCTGCACTTTTCTCTCTTGTTTTCTCTTATCCCAACATTGGATGGTAACTTTTTAAAATTTTGAATTTAATTTTTTACCTATAAATAAAACCTTACAACCCTTAATTTACCAAACATTAATCAAATTCTTCTATCTTTCACAATTTTTTTTCAAAAACTCTTAACATGTCTTCTTCCAACAACTCAAACAACCAAAATACTGTAACGTTCCAAAACTCAGAACCAAAGAAATTGTTTTTATATTGAATAATCCATCAACCAAACATGTTTGTCAAAATCATAAAGTATTCAGTGTATATCAATAAACATCCCAAAAGTACATTAGAGTCCATAAAGCGGAAAATCATGGTGTGTGCAATGCGATCATCCTAAGCTCTTCCCATTCGAATCAGAAGTACCTGAAACATATACTGAAAACCGTAATCACAAATCTTAGTGAGTTCCCCAAAACACATCATACTATACATATAATGGGCCTTGCCCGACAACCATCAGGCCCCGCCCGAAACAGATCTGTCTGTAACATGTGATGGGAGAGCATGTGTATTTTTTGGATATCCAAACGGGAAAAAAGGGTACAAGCTGTATAATTTGAAAAATCAAAGGATGTATAGCTCTTATGATGTAACCTTTGTTGAAAATATTTTTCCTTTTATAGAAAATTACAGGAATCATATAAATACTAACGATAAAACTTTTGTAGAAGCTCTAACTAGAGCATAATTTTTTGGTGAAAATTTTGTTCCGTAGGTCCAAACTAATGCTGATTCCAATGAGAGCAACACTGGGATTAGCAATGATGAATCAAGTCCTAAAGAAAATTGTTGATAATCAAGGTGAGAATTCAGCTAAAAGTGAACAACCAATGGAACAACAACAACATGGTGAGGGTCTTCGCCAAAGCACTCGTCATAGGACCATGCCAAAGCACCTTGACAGTTTTGTCACTGAGCTGCCACCTTGTCACACCCCCAAACCAAGGATGGCGGAAACGTCCGGGGGTGGATGACTTCATGTATAGTATCATAACAACA